TAGCGGTCGAGTTGTGATTCGGGCGATGATCCGGGGGTTGTCTTGACTTTTCATGAGGCCCCCCACCAGGAACATTTTTGGGGTTCTTCTCGTGGACGCTTTCGTACCAAACCATGCCTTTATGTGCAGCAAACAGAAGCAACTGTTGATCAGATTCGCATGTGCCTCGATAGTTTAACCATGATGAATTGACCTACTCAGCAGCATCAGATAGATCTGTCTCTAAGATGATGTGCTTGTGCATTGCGGATGTTATTGTACGATCTTAGATGTTGGGCAAACATGGTGATATTAGGTCAGATTCGGAGTACATAATTGTGTTTCGTCAATGTTTCTCTTCTGGGGCTGCTAGCATGGTGGAATAGGGGGGCCTAGGATAGGATGCAACCCGAGGTCGAGGCCTTCGGGCTAGCAATCCGGTCGAAGCAACACTCGATTTCATGATCAACAGTGTGACCAAATGGGATTAGTCGAGTGACCGAGAAATGGATATCAGCGTGATTCAGACACGTTCTCGATCCGATTCCCCACGTCCCTATTTGCAAAACAGCTTCATATTTCGGGTCATCCGCTCGAGTTTTGACTTGGGATATCGGAGAATGGTTTTATGGACTCGGGATTTCACGTACTAAATGTAGACTTCATCCGAAAAACGGTGGTCTCGCCGGATACATGACATAGAAAATTCATTTTGCACCGATCCTGGATTTTAGCCGACATCTTTCCACGCAGACGTGACCGTGCGCCACAACAGCAGCTCCCATCTATTGCGCACTGTCGTGTGGTGTTGCTCCATTACGTTGGATACTTGAACAGTGCGGTGAAAAGACAACCGAATTTCTTGAACTGTGCAACAACAATAACTGGTGTAAAGAAACAGATGATGGTCAACAAAGAAGATGAATTATTTGCTGAGATCGACAACAGTGGGTCTTTCGAAAGATGGTGCAGGAGTGGACGACCGCACAGTTGACACCAAGAGCAGAAACCAAAAGGGTCAGGATCAAGGTCAGATAAGCACGAACGAAGCATTGCTGCTAAAGTGGGTTTCTGGTCCTTGTGCATGAATGGATGTTCGCCATTTTGCTAGGGCGACCCGAAGTGGAAGTTGGAGTGGCACAAATCGCACGCACGATTGCTGGTGGATGAAAGTCGAATCGATCCCATGATTCGAGCACCCCTTTTTGTGCTCGGGACTAACTCGGGTCGCATTAGAACCGTCCATCCGAATTATGCCTCGGACTGCATCCGATCGAGGCTTCTTGAGCACGGGATTAAAGACAATCGGTGACGAAACCAAGGAATGATGATTTCATGGGCGGGGAAAGAAAATCTCAATCGAGCAGCTCCTTTGTCCAGCTAAACGTCATTTTCATCGGATCATTCGTTGGTACAATTGAAGGACGGGGTTAATGATGATCATCAATGTCATCACACGTGCGTGGGGCACGAAATGGCTAGTTTATTCAAGATCATCAATGTGCGCACATGCATCGGATTAATCCGGTTTTGTGCGGGTGGGGGCCTTATGGTGACCCGGACCCGGACCCAGACCCACCGGTTTGGTCATTCGGCCCGACCCATCAATGAACAGCTTGGTCCAATCCCAGCTTTGAGAAAACGACACTATTAATTGATGAATTTGGTCGGCTGGTTAGTTAGCTAGTAGTTCGAACCGGATAGAAACGTTAATCATCAGAAGTGGCAAGTGGTTGCAAATGGCAATTGAGTAGAGTCGGAGTCGAGCCAATAAGGTGTACTAGTTAATATTAAATCTTATATATGTGTTGACATTGCGCAAGAAAAAAAAAAATCGACTTCGATGTGAAAGAGCTAATGTTAATAAGAATTGATGTCATTGACTATACATCGTCCATGGTTTTGACTATAATATTAGGGTCGGCTTATTTGATGGAAAAATCATTTCCGAAAAATTGTTTTCGGACTTTTCGATGGTTCTGATGACGGAAAACTACTCGATCAATAGAAAACGTTTTTCATTGACTCAAAACAAAAAAAAAAAAGTCTAGATTAGGGAAAACGACTCCCGCTTCTCACCAGAAAGAAGTCATTTTCTAATTTCCTATCTTCTTAGCTCTCTCTCCATCTCTCGTCAAACGAGATTTAGACACCCGAAAAACGTTTTCAGTCACACTTTTCAGCATATCATCAAACAAATCGAAACTAATCATTTGACTTGAAAATGATTTCCACGGAACTCATTTTCCCTGAACATACGCAAAACAAACACACCCTGAAAATAGGTACAGCACATGAAGATCGGGGCGAACACAAACATCACGGCCAAGAAGATGTTGGTCATCGCTCCTGCGTCGGTGCGTCCATGGGACTCAAATTGTTAAGGCCCAATAAGAGAAAAAAAACAATGCTTGTTTACAATCTATTGAGGTATGTATGTTGTGAATATTTAATTCGATAAACCTTCATTTGAAATTTGATAATATAGCACATATAGCTTTTATATCGCATGAATAATGCACGTCTCTTCAGGAAAATAAAAACAAGTCTTTCTTTTCAAGCGACCAAAAATAATTTCTAGCTCATTTTTCGTATTTCAACCAAATAAGGGAACAATATATTGCCATTTTCTTGGGAAATGACTTCTTGGAAAGTAATTTCCATAAGTGCCAACTTTTCCGCAAAATAAAATCCTTAACTCAGATCAAGGGGAAAGTGTCAGAAAAGTCCTAAATCTATTGCGTTTATGTTAATTTAGTCATTAACCATTTAATGGTGTCGATTTAGTCATAAAACTTTTGACGTGGAGCCAATTCAGTCATTCCGACTAATTTTGGCCGGATATTTCTTACGTGAATGCTGGCCAGCATATGTGGCACGGCCGGTGCTGACGTGGATAATTTTTAATAATATTTTAATATATTTTCGAATTTTTATTTCTTTATTTATTCTTTTTCTTCTTTTCTTTCTCTTTCCTTTTTTTTTTTTCCCTTCTCTTCCTTCTTCCTCTAGTCAGTGGCTAGACCTTGGTAACCGGCCAGAGATGAGGTTCGACGAAGTTGACCTCGCCGGCCACAGGCAAGGCTTGAGCCCTCACCAAAGGTCGCAAGCAATCCCCTCGTCAATTAAAGCACTCTCCTTTTTTCTTTATTTTGGTCAAGTTACATTTTTCTCCCTCCATGTGTTTCTCCATTCAAAGCATCTTTCGTGTTCTCTACTAATTTTTTGAGGTAACAATGCTTGCTTCCGGATCATCTTGGGTGGATTTAGAGGATTGGAGTGGAGATTTGCTTGGGAGGGTCAAGTGTGGATGGTCATAAGGCTTTTGTCTTTTGCTGTGTTTGCATTTTTTTCGCAAAGAGCTGTAGGAGGCGACAATGCGCAATGGACCATCTCGTAAAACGCCAAACTTTGCTGCTTGCAGTCTCTGGTGAGGGCTCAAGCCTCGCCAGTAGCTGGGCGAGGCATAACCCTCACCTGATTCAGCGAGGGCAAGCCTTTCCAACCCAACGCGAGGCCACCCTCATGGCCTTTGAGCCTTGCTAGGGGCTGGGTGAAACATGACCTCGTCAGTAATATGCGGCCAAAATTAGCCGAAAGAACTGAATTGACTTTAGATCATAATGTTTATGATTAAATCGGCACCATTAAAAGGTTTAAGATTAAATTATTACAAATGCAATAGTTTTATAACTTTTCTGACAGTTTTCCCTCAAATCGATGTCGATGAAAAAGTTCTAAAACCATTGGGACAAAGAGAAATCACATAAGTATGGGCTATAGCGATGCAAACAAGACGGGTTCCTGGCTCACAAGGCCAATCTTACTCCATATCTACTCAAGCTAAATCTCCTTCAAATTTATGCCATCAATGAGCACTTCACCCACTTGCAGATCATGAAATCTCTCTATAAGATTGATGATCACGGTTGATTTGCTTCCACGTTGTCTGATCAAGGCCGCAGCTGTGTCGCTTGGTATGTAAAAAGAGAATTCGTTATGATAAAGCAGAGTCATTGAATTTTTGTCAAGGTCGATTATGAGTATTGACTGACTAATAGTACATGTTGAGTGTAATCATAAAAGTAAACGATAAGTTGACCAACACATGTAGTCTGAGATTGATGGGGAATATCGACGGTCAAATATTAGCATTGATTGTGAGAAGCCGATAAAATTAAGTTGACAAAGGCGGGAATAGTTTTGGCAATCGACTAATATGAGTCGATGTCAATCGAGTCGAGAAGCATTGACATTGGTTCACAAGATTTGGCCAAAATCAGATCAACTTCAAGGATAAATGGGGGAACAGCTATTGCAGTTAAACTCTTCGGCGGGGATACCAAAGATGTTGACTGACAGATCAAGTTATTGTACACAAGCTCCGGAGGCGGGGGCGAACAATCGACCCCTCAAACATGGATCAATGATTTGATTTCATGCTTGGGAACGGGCACAAGGAAAGATCAATCATGCATGAACGTTAAATTGGATTAATACTATGAAAAATCACAAATTAATACATTTATGATAAACAGAGGGTAAAACCCCAAACCGGTACACCCGTCAATTAACACGTATTATCCAACTCAATAATTTGACGTTGAAATTTAACAGAAACTAACAGAGGGTAAACTTATTATATTTGTACCAATTTAAGGTTTTTGGTGATCAAAAAATTAATTTGGAGTAAATTTATCACAAATGTATCGGTTTGGAGTTTTTCGCAGTATTAACCCTAATTTAAAGTTGTTCTAGTTGTTCATCTACTTTTGTCAATCAAATGCTTGCTCTTGTTCTCTGGAAAACATTCGTGCGGTCGTCAATAAATTTCGCTTCCCAAGTATCGTAACCCGACCATCAAACCCAATGTCTCGAATGGCCCAAAGTCGGGCTTGGTTCATCAACACGGGATCGAGCCCCGACCCGTGCCCGACCCGAATAATCGGGCCGGGGGCCCAAGTTGATCGCTAATCAAATTCCATCCTCGCCATAGTCACCCATCAATCGATCAGAGAGTAGTCCCCATATCACGAAGCACCGAAGCAGACGACTACGACGAAGACGACGAAGACGAAGAGGAAGAGCGGAGCTAACGAGCGGCGATGGATTTCTGGGGCCGGGCACGGAGCTTCGCGGAGGAGGCCGCCAGGCGGTCCCAGGAGCTGACCGTGGAGGCGGCGAGGCGTTCCCAGGAGCTCGCCGCCGGCTCCTCGCGGCTCGCCGACGCCGTGTCCGAGGCGGCGAGGAGGTCGTCCCGGGAGATCGCCGCCGAGGCGTCCAGGCGGGCCGACCAGATCAAGCTCGAGGCCGTCAGGCGGGCCGATCGCCTCAGGTCGCTGGCCGAGGGCTCCGCCGCGGCGGCGCCGCCGAAGGAGGAGGAGGCGGAGGAGGGGGCGGATCTGGAGAAGTTCGGGATCACCGACGAGCTGAGGGAGTTCGTCACGGAAATCAACGTCACCACCTTCCGGGATTTTCCCCTGCCAGGTGCTTCGTTAGTGTGTTTTTTCTTTTCTTTTTTTTCGGATTGGTTGGCGTTCTTGTCGTCATTTGGTTGGTAAGGAACTGTCCGGCAGTTGATGACCGTTTGTTTCGTTAGGAATGGCGTGCTTCTGTCGGTCAAGTCGGAAACCCAAGTTAGTTTAGGCTGAATCTTTGAGTGATCACGTTCTGTTGCAAGAACTGGATTGATGATTGAATGTGCGGAAACCTGAAGACGTGCTTGCTCCAATCCTCTAGTGAATTCACTTTGATCTCTGTCACACGCATTTGCCGGATTTCGAGTTCTTGGGCACGGGCGATGCGTGTGTAATGCTAATCGACTCCATAGTCCTAGCTCATGTATGACTATGGTTTTGCTTTTCTTAGTTTGTTCTTGATGAAGTGTCCGCTGAAGTTCCGCTGTGGGAACTTCTGAGCTTCCAAGGGAAGTTTTTCGTTGGTTGCATGGTACCACTAAGGTTATGTTGTGACAACTTCTGTGGTTCCTAGGGAAGTCTTTTTGCTGGTTGCTTAGATTCAGTGGAATTTTTTATGGTTAATGTCGGGCACGTGAGCTGGGATATGCGTTGGCTTGGCATAACAACGGAACTAATGCAATCTTGTGCTCATTGTTGAATGTTTGCATTTTCCTCTAGCTTATGTTTCCTGACTTTTTGCAGATGATTCTGAAATGTCGGATGTTCCTACGGTCTCAAATGTAAGGCAGGACCTTACAGAGTTTCAAGAAAAGCATGCCAAGCTTGTACTTTCATCTGTAAAGGTACTCAACCGTGGCTCAATTAGCAAATCCTCAATATGCCTTACGGGGAGATAGAGACAGTGATAGAGAGAGAAGGGGTGTAAATTGATGCATTTGCTTTTGGGTAAACATCACTTTTGCCTTCAAGGCTATAGAAATGCAGTTGTATAGGGGGTCATCTTTAAGGAAGGTTGGCTGTACTTACGCTTATAATCAATTAATCATGTTAAACATAAAGAGTTACATATTGAAGTTTTACCTGCGCCTCCATGTGGTATGAAGGCTAAGAGTCAGTTACCTAAGACTTATGGCACAATGGTGCTCGGACGACTTTCCTATACACTTCAAGGTCTTGTAAAGTTTATTGTTGACTTGAGCTTGGCCCCATCCTCAACATTTCTGAGGTTCATAATGAGATTTATCTCAGTCTAAGGGATGAAATTCCCAGTCGAGTAGTATAAGTCTAATTATCTAATTCTATTGTCAGGAAGAGATCTTTATAGATCTTATTTTTAGCAGAAGTCTTTAAGCATGATCTTTCTGAAATAAATAAATTGCGGGAATGCTATCAACTTCTAATATTTGGTTGCCATTGACCCATTGCAGGAAATCTCAAAGTTGAGATATGAGTTGTGCCCACGGATTATGAAAGAACGGAAGTTTTGGAGAATATATTTCATACTAGTTAATAGCCATGTTGCGCCGTATGTATCCTTATTGTGATGGAACCTCTATCTAAGATTTCCTCGTCCTTCTTTTGAGATGAGTTCTGATGTCTAGTTTAGTAACATTTGACAGTCTTGACTTAAGTACCTTGGAAGCTTAATATTGTCATTTTGTGATCTTTAGTGTCGTTCATGATAGTGGAAATGTCTTATCGTTCTTAATTACTTATAATTACCCACTATGGGATGTCATATAGAATGAGCGAGGGCTCCTTTCAATCTTTTTGATGGTCACCTCGATTTGATATGAGCCCGAGGTTTTCACTTTGATATTTTAGACCCAGCCTGTTATCACTTAAAAAAAACATACTGTAGAAAAATCTTTCTGCATTGCAGTTTTGATCAATTTTTCATGAATGCTAACCGAAAGATTGTGGAGCCAAGTTTGCTTCAACTCTCTTGAGATTTTCTTCATCATGCCTGGAGCCTTATTTAGTAAAGATTGAGGAATTGCCAGACTTCGTAAATAAACTGCATCTAGTGCAATGGTACTTGTGAAGGATTTTTGCGTTTGCATTGTACTCAGCAACTAGAATATGTTAACATAATAAATATTTTATCCAAAGATGGAGACATCATGTCAGTATGGTGAACAGAATAAAAGGAAATGTACATATCATATGTTTGATTGCTAAATTTCCCGCAATTTTGGTTGCCACTGATCATACCTGTTGACTGCTCTTTCTTTTATGTGCTTTATGAACTTCCTCACTCTCGGTTGTTGTCAGCTACGAGAGGCAATACATGGAGGATGTTAGACAAAAAGCTTCAGAAGAAGTTAAAGAACCTGCAAATGCTACTGAAGTTAAAGAACCTGGAAATGCTGGAGTAGCATCTAAAGCGGAGACAGAGGAACCAAATAATCCAATTAAGCTAAGCAAGACTTCCACCTCAACAGAGCAAGACTTGGATGTCTTCCTTTTGGGAGATCTTGGAGATGATGACGAGGGACCAGGTACTATGACTAAATAAATTTTCTGCAGTTATTGGTGTACATTCCGGTTTATTGATGCTATTTCGATCTGTTAATTCATCTGCAAAATTTGATGATGGCAGACTTTATTGTAGAAAAATTTGGTGGAATGCTGAAAATGTGAGAGCTTATGTGGTCATATGCTATTGTTCTTAACTGTAATAATTGCCAGTCGTTAGTTGATAGCCGACAACTTGTCATGTCGTGTCATGTCATTTGCCCTTAGTGTTGGTCTGAGAGTCTTTGAATTTGTCTACTTGATTGATGTTTATGATTCTATGAGCCCCATCCAGTTTTCTGCAGTGTTTTATGGTTGTGCAATTCGACATTCGGGACTGTTAATCATACTAATAGTCTCTCTGTTCTTTCAGATGATGGAGATGCAGGCTTTGATGATGATTTTGACAAAATGGTGGATAGTTCAGTGAGGATAGCTCCTTTAGCTCTTTTTTTACTCCAAATTGGGTTCACTTACACACACGTTTTTACATGACCGGAAGCATTCAGATGAAGTGACGTAGCATATAGTTCTCATATTTAGTTTAGTGCGGTTTTTCTTGCATCAATAAGATTTTCCATGAGCTGTCTACCTGGTTTAGATATTTACTCAACTATAGCTGGTGAGCTAGGTGCAGGCGCTGCCCAATCTGGGCTAGGTTTCATTTGCTAAGTAATCCATCAGGAACAGCTGCATTATCTCAATTGGCTCATTGTCATGAGTTGACCCAACACTAACGACAATGCCGACTCGATTGGATTATTGATGTGTAGGATGACGAGAAAGAGAAAGAGTAGAAGATTCTGGGATTGGCTGCAACACAGCTTGTTCATTGGTAGTCCGCATCAGGGAGATCTTATCGTGGCAACTGAAATCCGAAACCTTTGTGGAGTATCCACAGATATGTCCTCCGAACTTTTCCTTTATCTATCTACTTGCTTTGGTCTCTCGATTATTTTCTTATTTTCGGCAGGAGATAAGATGAGGGAAGTTGGTCAGTTGTATAAAGTATAGAAGTTTGTGGTCAAGTGAATTGTATTTGTGACTACCATTCTTTGTAGGATCAACTCTTAGAAAAATAATGCTACTTGACAATGGCTCACTAACCTGTCTCGTAGTTTTTGTAATTGGTGCTTCCGCAACAGAGCATTAACCTTGCTACTTGACTTTTCTTCGTTCTCAGAATGAGTTCAAAATGATTTTTATTTTTCAAGTCGACCACCTATGATTTGTTAAATCATACAGACATTTGCATGTAATTGAGAAATCTTTTATAGTTTGTAGATTTTACAATATTCCCTCGTTATTGGAAAAGTAAATAGGCCTTAATTGTCTTACATGAACCTCTTAGGCTGCATTTGACAGCTTTGAGAATAGACGTTCGGCAAGGCCTGTGTGCCCGAGTTGAGGTGTTCGGCAAGAGAGTTTCAAAGGATTTTGAACCAAAGTTAGCATTTCCATCATCCCGTAGCCAAATGAGGTCCTATCCAGCTTTCTTTTTGACCATTTTCGTGAAGCTAATGATTTTTTTTCTTCCAACTTTGCCCTTGCTAAAATTTCAAAATTCCAATTTTATCCTTACCAAGACTGGCAACGCACGATGTTAGCGACAACCTGGCACCTGAGTTGGGTCCCTGATCCAGTCGGCACCCGAGTTCTTCACTTGAGGACTGTCGGTTGCTGAGCTTTAGTTTTCTTTTTTTATTTATTAAAAATATAGTCGACGTCCGTGCAGTTTTTTTCAAACAACATTCAAGCCAAGGTTGCTTTCGATGCACTTTTCAATTACATTTTACCAAACGCTATTGCATTTCATTAATCTGAAGTCTTTTGCGTAACTTTTCCCAAATGCTCTTCCAAATGCACAGCAAGGCTGCGTTTGGTTCATTTTTTGGTGGACATGCAAAGAGTTTAGGTTATAAGAGCTTTTTCGAAATGAAAAAATGTTTGGTGAAGTCTAATTGAAAAAACTAACCTTGTAAAGGACATCATGTATATATTTCAAATAAATAAATAAGGAAATCTACTTGTAACCACCGATCGTTGCCAGCAAGCTAGATTTGGCATCGACAGCCACTAGCAAAGGCCACCTAGGGTCACGCAATCCCAGGCAAGGCTCATCAGTAATGTCGTGCGAGGCTACATAATGTGATAAGGGTAAAATTGGAATTTGAAAAGTTTAGCGAGAGTAAAGTTGAAAGAAAAAAATGCATTAACATTTCGAAAATGCTCAAAGCCCAACCGTTAGGTAGGACTTTGCTTGGGCTAGATGCCATTGGAGCACTATGGAATGCAATCATCTTCCAAAAGCTCTCTAAAAAAAGTTGCCAAACACCTTAGCATTTACCAAGGGGTTTTGGTTCGGCTTTTGAGGAAATCTTCTGGGACTATGAAAGACTTTGAGTTTAAAGGGTTTTTAATAGTGTTTGGTAAAATGTAATTTAAACATGTATTGGGAAACAATTCTGATTAAATGTTGTTTGGAAAAAGACTATACTTGTAAAGGATGGCGGCGAGCTCAGGCTGTCGGCGAGCCAAATCATGCATCGGAGGCCTCCCCTAGGATCGCAACCCTAGTGACCCCAAAGTGAAGGTCGTGCGACCTCAGTGAGGATTGCCTCGCGCGACCTCAGGCGAGGTTCGCTGGGCAGTGACGTGAAAATGGTGAGGGTAAAAGTGGAATTTCAAAAGTTTAGCGATGGCAAAGTTGGAAGAAAAAAATGAATTAGCATTTCGGAAATGGTTAATATCACGAAAAACCCCAAATTTGTATACCTGTAATAAATTTACCACAAACAAAAACCCCAAATTGGTATATATGTGACAAATTTACCTTCTGTTAAATTTGATTAATATCATGAAAAATCACAAATTGATAAACTTATAAATAACAGAGGGGTAAAACGCCAAACTTGTACACTCGTCAATTGTCACGTGTCATTCAACTCAACAATTTGATAGTAAAATTTAACGGAACTAACGGAGGGTAAATTAATCATAGGTATACCAGTTTGGGATTTTTGGTGGTCAAAAAATTAGTTTGGGATAAATACCGGTTTGGAATTTTTCGTGATATTAACCCTTTCAGAAATGCTTAAAGCCCAATTTGGGTAGGACTTGAATTGGGTTCGACATGCAATGCATCTCCAAAACCAAACCAAACACACTCTAATAAGTTGCAGTATTTTCGGATGTTATTTTTGTTTACAAATGTATTTTCCTTCTATTTTCATTATATGCTAATATGCAAAAATTTAAATCCAAAGAGAGGTAATAACGTTAATGTACGTAATATTAGTACATGTATTACTAGAAAATCCCAACATCATTAATTGCTCTTTTCACTTCCATTTTCTTTCCCGATCTAGCGCACTCCAGCGTATACAAATTTCAGTGATCGTTTCTCGATTTCACTCTTCGGTCACATCGTTAACACATTATTGAGTTTGTTAATTTGCCAATTTGTCAGTAGAATGAAGGAGAAAATAGTGGAGGCTTCACTGCTTATGTTCATTCACGGTTTCACTTAGGGTTGGTCCAGTGTGATTCCATTTTTTTAGTGTTCGAGGGAAGAGAGATGTGAGGAAAATCGTGCTGAACTGATATGTATGTCTTGAGATTGAATAGTTGAGTAAAATTAGATGTACTAGGGTCAACTATGAGGGGCTTGTGTTCCACTGACCAAGTGTCTGATAGGGAGTGCGATACTTATACCCTTTAACTCGCTTGACCCATTGCAAAGATAAACTTTAAAGAGAGAAGTGTTTTTGAAGAGAATGCTCCATCCTCTTCTTGTGATACATTTGTGGGATGATACAAATAGGGAGGAAAAACCTTATATATACTTGAACAACTCTAATTATAACCGTAAATCTTTTTTTAATCTAACGGTGATGGTCCAATCTCCTATCTACTATCTACACTTATTAATTACAAGAATTTTCAACTAGTGTACGGTTGAAATCTCCAGGAACCACTAAATATTCACTTTTAAATTACTCATAATATTCTTGAGAACATTTTAAAGTACATATGACAACTATATACTCATCTTGGCCACATTCTTAAGTAAGTGCCTTGAGCACCTCCATTTCGCGACATTTGTAAGACACTGAGAAATCTTTTATAGTTTTTGGAGTTTACAATGTTTCCTCGCTTTTAAAATAACCTATTATCAGAAAAGTAAATATACTCTTTTTAAATAAAGACAAACATGCCTTAGTCACCTTACATAAACCTCTTATAGCAATAAAGTGATGCTTCTAAAAAAATTTTTATGTCGAATACTCAAAGTGTCTCATTGCGTAGTACTATTAACATCGAGAGTCATCTAGAGTTGTTCCGTTAATTTTTCAAAAAGATGAAATTGCGTGTATAGGCTCTTCTCAAATTTTTCGATATAGACCGCAATACAGAAGAAAACTCAGCTCAAACTATATTGTCATGTTGTGTAATCGTTGGTGAGAATTACCAAAAAAGTCTTAAATCTGTTACACTTGTACCAATTCAATTCCCAACTTCTTAATTTCGTCATTTTAATCTTAAATCTTTTGAAAATTTGCCAATGTAATTGGCCAGAAATTACTGACGTGGACACCGACTATCCTACGTGGTACAGCCGCCCTAACGTAGACAATTTTTTTTTATAATTTTCTTTTCTTTTCTTTATTTTTCTTCCTTCTTTTTCCGCCGGTTGCTGCCAAAGGCGACAACTAGCAAGGGTTGCCCTTGCTAACGAATCCTGTTGGAGCCACTTCTGTAACAGTTTTATAATGTTTTTATAACGGTTGGTAACGGTTTTTTGGGAGAGCCACTGGCAGCAATGAATGTTTTGTTAAAAATAGTGGGCAAGCCCTCATAATCTAATGTGGAGTTACGCATGGCAAACGATCTATGGCTTTGGAGCTGTCCACGTGGACCAAATCGGAAGGTAATCGGAAGGTAAACAAAGGCGGTCACGTTCCCCTCGATTATAGTTAACCTTCGTTAGCATTCAAGAGCGCGAATAATAATTATTATATTTCTTAATTTTTCTATTTTTTTATTTTCAAAATCAGGTTTGGAACAGAAATCCGTTTGGCGACGCAATTTCATTTTTTTTTATTTGCGGAACAAATTTTTAGCTTAGAAATAAGTTTGGAACAGAAATGAGCTGAAACAAAAACAAAAGTAACAACTCTTTTATTGATCACCCTCGCCACCCGCTGCCATTCCCCAGCGCTCCGGCCACCTCCCGCCGCTGCCCCCCACCACGCCGGCCGCCTCTCACTGTTGCCCCCCACCGCGTCAACCGCCTCACGTCGTTGCCCCCCTTCTCGTCGGCCGGCCACTAGGAACAATAATTTAAGAATAATCTATCAAACGAATTTCTATTTCGGAAACTGAAATTTTATGTCGTTATCAGATACTTTTTGCTCAGAAACTTGTTCATGTACTAGCCAGAAATAGCGTCGAGGAAGAGAATGGTTATTATTCGCGCCCTAAACTTCTAATGGCCGAGATGAATAGCGATTTCAATCGGATTGATTTGATTTAATTTTCTACCAAAAATAAATTCGTTTAGTTGCATAGAATAACGGTTCCATTTTGAAAACATTGATCATCCAGCGATTAAAGGCTTTATTTGGGGTTGAAGAAAAGAACATGGATCCTACGATAATGGGAAAATTACCAAAAAAGTCCTAAATTTATTGCATGTGTGCCAATTTTATCATAAATCTTTTAATTTGACCAATTGAATCCTAAACCTTTTGAAAATTTATGTAGTCCATCCGGCCAATTTTAGTTGGAATTCGTTGACATGGAACTAGTCGTTTGATGTATGTGGCATGGCCAGTGCTGACGTAGATAATTTTTTTTGTAATTTTTATTTTATTATCTTTCTTTTTCTTTTCTTCCTCCGTTGGTCGCCGGGTCTTGGCAATGGCTGGCGACCGGCCACAAGCGATGACTGGCAAGGGCAATTCTCACCAGCCTCAGGCAAGGTCACCCATGTTGGGATTTGGCGAGGGGCGACCTCGCCGGCCTCGCTAGCTTCAAGCGAGGCTCGACCTTGCCGAATATGGCGAAGCGATCCTCCCCTGAGGCCGGCGAGGTTACCCCTCGTCAGATCCCGACGAGGTCAAGCCTTGCCTAAAGCTGGTGAGGCCGGCCCTTGGGGGACTCTAGCCAGGGCAAGGTTGAGCCTCGCCCAAAGCTGGCGAGGTCGACCCTCGCTGGCCTTTGGCAAGGGCGAGCCTCGCCCGAAGCTAGGAAAGTCGCCCCTGCTAGATTCCAGCGAGGGTGATGACCAAGTATGCCTTAACACTTCTAAGGATATATAGTTCTCATGAGTACTCTAAAATGTTCTCGAGAATATTATGGGTAATTTAAAAGCGGATATGTAGTGGTGCTTGCAAATTTCAATCGTACACTTATTGAAAATTCTTGTAATTAATAAGTGTAGTTGGTAGATAGGAGATTGGACTAAGATTAAAGAAAGATTTATGGTAATAATTAGAGTTGCTCAAGTATATATAAGGTCACTCCTCATTTGTATCATCCCACAAATTTATCACAAAAAGAACAATAGAGCATTCTCTTTAAAAACACTACTCTCTCTAAAGTTTATCTTTTCAATTTAGTGTGCATCAAGTGAGTCAAGGGAACTTAAGTGTGGCACTCCCCGTGAGACGCTTGGTGAGTCGAAACACAAGCTAGGTGAGTCAAAACACAAACCAGTCTACCTTTGGTAGATCGTTCCCAAGCACAATATGACGAATCATATCCTCATAGTTGATCGTAGTACACCCAATTTAACTTGACGAATAATTACGAGCCATTAAAATAAAATTTGGGTCATCTACATTCAACTTTATATATAGAGGTACAATTCAAGTCAATCCACCAACAAAACCGATCATGAAAGTTCATGCTAAAAAGGCGCCGAATCAAAATAAAATTTGAAAAATGGGTGTATCGTTTACATTTTCGTATGTCATTGCCACCAAAAAAAAAAAAGAAAAGCAAGAAAGAAAGAACTAAAGAGAAAATATATACAAGGAAAACCTAACTAGATTTGGTCATTGACCATTATATATAAGCTACATTTACACGAATACATTATATTTACGGGCATGAATTGTCTTTTTTTTGGCAAGAAGATTGGATGGTTTCCAATAAAATTCCAAGTTTCACACAGAGTGGAAAACGGAATCTGGGAATTTTCTTTTCCCTCTCTTTTCTAATAGGAAGGTCTTGGCATTCCTTATTTAATTTTAATTTCATCTTTGGATGTGGACTTGGTTCTCTGCACCTTTATGGTAAAGCCATCTCTCTCGCTTGTCTCATGTGCCTCGTCTTCTTATAAATGAGTCACTGGTCACCTTTGTTTAGCAGTTTAACTCCCCCAATCACTTGAGAGTTTTCTTCATGCTTCTTTCTGCTGTCTGAGTCTGTGTCTATCATAGGAGATGGAAGGGATGGATGAGTTGGGTTCCTTGTGGAGTTGTCAAGAGGTTTGTGTTTCCTCTACAGTCCTTGCTTTTCTGCTCATTCGAAGTCGTCTTCGATTCACATGTGCACTTCATTGCCTCTCAAACTGCTGTTTTTTGTCCCTGGATGAGTAAAAGCAGTTGATTTAAAACTGAGATAGTCTGAATTCTTGACTAAAAGCAGTTGATTTAAAACTGAGATAGTCTGAATTCTTGACTCTTAATTCAGAATGACAATTTTTTTTGTCTTCAATTGCTTTCAAGGGTCACTTCGAGACAGTTCATGGGGATCATTTGCATTCTTTTTTCTTGGGTTTTCCACGAACGCAAAATGCTTGCACTTGCAGACGTTTCTCTGTGTAGCAAACTTTGATTTGGAAGTGATTCGGTTTCTGAAGATAGTTGTGAATTGAATAGGTGTTGAAAAATTATTAACAAGAGCCATATTGGTTTTGATCTAAACTACAGATATTTTCAGAGCCAACCCCACATTTTTTCCCCTTCAAATATCAATGCTTTTTTTCTTTTCTCTATTTTTGTTGCTTTCCTGCAAATGAATGAAGCCTCGATAGATAGAATCTAAATATAATTTGGCTGGCCCATTTCAAGATATTAATGTATCTACCAAACGAATACTTTGTCAGCAGCATTTCTAGTGAAAATCCAAAAAAATTTCATCAGGTCGGTGTAACTATTGATTCACTATTGATATATAGCTTCAGAGTCTTTCATTAAGTCCTCTAGACGTATCTTTCTTCTCTTCTTATGCTCCCCGGATCAGCTGGTTTTTCTGCTTTTTTTTTCTGTACTTTCGATTTCATGTTAAAAGTCTGAAACGACAGAACATGGAGGAGTTGAAGCAGAAGATCCTGTGCACCAGCCTGAAGCTCGAGGCAGTGAAAATGGAAACGAGCGAAGAAATGAAAAAGTACAGGGAGAATGTGAAGTACCTGCTCAACCTCCTGAAGACTGCTTACCAAGAAAGGGATGAAGCCAGAGACCAGTTTCAGAAGCTGATCAACAAGCTCACCTCTCAAAGCATCAGTGACATATCATCCTTGTTCTCTCAACAAAAATACCCTGATGGCTTCCTAGTGCCAGTGAGAGCGAACTCGGGCATAACTGAATCAAGCAGCCTCTCTGGTACCTACAACAATCACCACTCGCATGGCTCATCAACTGTAAATCTGTTCCTGGATGCGGTTTCTTCACCAGACTTGTCGAGCATTAACGTGGTCGATTCTGGTAACACGGGCTTCATCAATCAGCCTTATGTTCAGGAATATAGCGGTGCTATGACTAGTGGTTCGATCTCCTTGGTGAATGCTAAATTCGACGCAGCATCTGTCATTATTGATGACCTTGTCAACGGAAAAGCCCTGCCTCAGAAGGGCAGGCTCTTGCAGGCCGTGATGGAGGCTGGTCCTCTACTCCAGACGCTCCTCGTGACAGGGCCACTACCTCGGTGGCGGAACCCTCCTCCTCTCCAACCATTCAAAATTCCGCCAGTTGCAGTAATAAGTTGTGACCTGGCAAATGCTTGTCTCAAACCTGGTGCAAGTCCTAGCAACTACCTGGTGAAAACTATAAACCAATCCCCACATCCTGATGTCTCGCCATATACGTGCTTGGCCTCAGTGCTGAACTTCGCTGGCGAGGCCCGCCTGTATCAGGGTCATGGGTGTCTAATGCCTTCGGTCGGCTGTGTCGTGAATCAGATTCCAGCGGGAAAGAGGCAGAGGTTCCAATGACAGGAGGCTTTTCCTTCTTTTTTTTGGGCATTTAGTTGTAAATGCATGGCTTTGGTTTTTTGTCCCGGTGTGAATGGCATGGAGTTTCCTACTGGTTAGTTTGTGCATGTGGAGGTGTCCTTTGTATATAAAACTCTCGTGCATCTGATTCTGGCTGCCATATTTCTGAATTTAGACCAGAAAGCTGCATCGATATCTTGGTCTTTTGCTTTACAATGCTTGAACGAATACTTTGTCAAGATAGAACAGACGATGATGAATGGATGTTGAAATTTGTCATTTCTTCTTAGAACTTCCTGGTTTCATGAGTTTGTTAAGTACAAGTCACTCTCCGAAGATCTTGCGTGGTGAAATGTCAATGCTGGAAAGAATTTGTACTTCTTGCAATCAGAGGCGAAGCGGCGAGCATGCCGTTCATGCCGAAATGATGACAGGCGATGTGGCCAATACACATGTCTGATGAATGTCAAAGTTCACCTCAGAACTGATAAAAGGGTATAATTTACATTATTTTGGATCATTATAAAAAGAACCTTGATATCATCTACACGAAGACAAACAAATGCACACATAGATGCATGCACCGATTTTCAGAATCACGACTCGAACTGTGTTGGTGTTACCTCGGTGTAATCGACCCAAATGAAAACCTTAATTGCTTCAAAGAATGTTCCACCACATACAGGACGCGGGACAGATAATTCCGACACAATGAAGGCGAGCTAGGATGATGACCATTCGGAAGCCATCTGAGCATAATATTGCAGCAATTGATACAATTGATACAAACTTCACCACAAGATAGATGCCTTCAAGTCCTGGTCCAATCACACCTGCGGCACTTGATGGCAGTAGCACTCCTCGTTGGAATCCGCTGGCGATCTCCTTGGTCGTGTTCGTATGCACTGTCTTCCTACTCTTCAGCTACTACTCGGTCTTGAAACGGTTTCTCTGTGCCTTTCGTCTCACCACCTTCTCAAGAAACCGGGCTCCTGAACAACGCCAACCCGGACGACCCGTCCCTCCAGTTCCACAGCCACTGCTTGGACTCCTTCACCATGCACAACCTGCCAACTACTCGGTTCTGCAAGAAGGAAGTGGAGACGACGAAGCCGAGCATCGGCACCCAGTGCGCAGTTCGCTTGGGAGAGTTCGAGGAAGGGGACTAATTGAAGCATTTGCCAAACTTCGCTCACTTGTTCCATGTTGCTTGCATCGACACTTGGTTTCAGCTCCACTTTAATTGTCCGCGGTGCAGGGCTCAAGGGGTGTGCTATTTGAACGTCCGAAGTGAGAGCATCGTGTCTGCACGGAGTTTGATAGTGACGCTCGATGGAGTGGACTTCATCCATGTGAGGGCAAGCCAAAGCCATTACCAGAGTTCGAGGTCTCAGATCCTAGAGAATTCAGCAATGGCGAGAGACGCGCTGGGGAACCCAGCTCATGAAATTGTATAGAATGTGATCAGAGTAGCACCTTCAACTTTTGGAAGCGGAGAGTGGTGGGATTTGATCGGAGACGTGAAGAACGGGACAGCTTTTGAGACTGAGCAGAAGATTGACTTCCTTATTGGGAGACCTTGTGCTGGTACGGGAAGGACTAAGCGACTTCATGTGCTTTACACTGTACAATTGACACAACCGCAAAGAATTTGTCTTTCAGATCTTCTCTTTTCCCTTCATCAATCAAATTATCATGCCACGGTCGCATCAAGAATACACTAGGGAAAAAGATCAAGAAGGGAGGGGGCAGATCAGCAATCAAAAGCGAAAATTTTGCCCGATGATGCGGGAATGGGACACATCGTTACTCAACGATTGATCTTTACATTTTGGTCGAGGAAATGAAGCGGAGCCACCATCCGCCACCAACATGACAGCCCATGGACCCATTGCCTTCCGTTTTCCCGATGGCTAATGGGACGGCGAAGAAGATATAATCCCTCTGTCCGTTTTAGACTTAAACATACTGGTCGTAATTTCTCTTCTCTAATTTGGCCATGATTTGGTTTGAATTTGATATCACTTCGGTCATACATGTTTACATGCCTCTGTGATATAATAGGATACCGAAATCATGTTTTGCTAAGTAATTGGGGAATTCTATTTTGGACATGCTTGAATTCGCTGGAACGGAGCTTGGACTTGCTGTTGCTGGTTGCTTTGGTTCAGATGAGAGATATTGTAATTGGTTTTATTTGATTAGTGACTTGCAAGTGTATCGTGTGAACATTGCTGATGTGTCCATTGCATGTGTATATGTGCAAATTAGTAAATGTGCTGAGTTGCAAGTGCATCTTATGAACACTGTTGCGCGTTCATTACATGCATGTATTTGAGGTGCTGAATTGCATATGCTTTGTGTGATCGTTGCTGATATGCTATCATTGCTTATGTATTCATGCATTATTCCGGTGTCACTTAATCGTTAAAGGTATGCATGATGGTAAAGACAGAAGCTCTGGATATTCTTTCTTCCTAATGATGCATTTGTTGTGTCATTTACTTGTTGAATGTGGTCTGATAAATGTTGTTAGAATTACGAGCAGCAAGATTTTCTTAAGCATATTTTATATAGCGGAACCATAAATTATGGCATTTTATGGATTTCCCGCTGTATTAGGAGGATACGGAAACGATAACTAGATGTTAGATTCAAACGAGACAAAATCTACTAATGGATATGTGTTCACCTCTTGTAACTTGGAAATTAGCCAAAAATATTGTGGGAGAAATGACAATCCCGCCAAATCAAAAGTCGACTTGGTTGAAACAAATGATTATGATGGCCCAATTGTTGCAATCATTTCTCAAGCCAATATTATGGCCAATGTGAAAGAGTGGATGGTAGACTCAAATGCTACCAGGCATATATTTACAAACAAAGTATCTTATCTTCCCACAATCCAATAGAGGAATGAGAAGAGATTATTTAACTTGGTGATTCGAAAACTACTCAAGTTTTCGGGATAGGGAAAGTTCTTCTCAAGCTCACAATTGAAAATAAGACCGAGTAGTTGAGAAACTTTCCTTTGGAAATGAAACAAATACCTTCTATCTCTAGGCATTTATAATTGTCAATAGGCAATAGCCATTGCAAAGAATAAAAAAAAACTTTCAATGATTAAAAGAGACACATTCGATTGAAACGTGGTAAAGCAACCAGTTTACATTCAACTGAGTTTAACTCGGCATTTGTTTCCTTTCTTTTTAAAACCTTTGAAATAAGTGAGGGATTGTTAACAGTTTTGAAATATTTGAAACTAACGACTTCGATAAAGATTATGGAAAGCTATTATTCTGTAAGGGTTTTCCTAATGTTTTTATAACAGTCTTGATCGAAATCAATTAGTAACGAATTTGTAACGGTTTTTAATTTAATGCAAGAATTGATGATGGAAAATGGCTCTCTTCTTTTACCTACAAATTGCTACTTCAAACATAATTGAAAAGGTGATATATAAAAACATGAAAATCTTTACATTTATTCAATTTTTTTTTCCTTTCTTTGTTAGATTATTATACCTACAATTTAGTTGTTCATGTTCCTTCTATTTTGTGCTGTGTAAATAAGAATGTTCGTTGTATCACGGGAGGATAGCCGCTAGAGACTATCGTATCAAGTTTCATACTACGAGGGGCAGAATTATCATTAAGGACAATATTTGCATGCCTTAGACAATTGATCTTATTGTCTCATCTTTTCCAACCGATTTCCAACAATTATCACTTTCATCTTCTCCTAATTTTTCCAACATCTTAAACAATCAAGACAATAAAGCAAAACTCCAAATCACGGCTTTGTTCTGTTTGTTTTGCGGGAATTTAATGATTTAAAAAAAAATACATTCTAAAAAATGATCGCTTATATTGCTTGAAATAATCAGTTGATGAAAAATATTTTCAATGCCAACAAAAATTTATGTTTACATATTTTCATGGACGATGAAAGCATTTTTCATTTGTTTATTTTTATAAAGTGATACTGACAATCATTTTTAGGAAAATATTTTCGAAATCATTCAATCTTCGCGAAAGAAGCGAACCATAAAGATGTCGATATGAAATATCCCACTGTCCAAAGTGAATACTTATATACAATCATATAGTAGTCTCTGCTTCGTCTATAAAATACAGTTATTGCGACGAAGCGCCTTAGAAAGAAGCCTTAATGTCCTTTTTCGGTCATCAAAATTGCCAAAATCGTAGAAAACATCGGTCTTTGAAAGTAATGCCATTATGATGTACGAAAAAAAAATAGGGGATTGCGAAAATAAAGAGGAAAAGCATTTTAATTTTAAAACCCAAAAGAAAATCGCCAAAAAAAATTCCCCGCGCGCGGACGTGAGTGTCATGAATTTGAATTACTGTTGATGTTCAAATAATTTCAAAACTCTAAAAAAATTAAAAGTTGGAAGCTATCCAAACAGTTCCACCAATAAAAAGAAAATTATCCAAAACGGACCAACAGAACTTCAGTTTTATCCGATTTTATCCGATTTTATTCGATTTTCTTTTTTATTATTATCTACAAATCATTAATCTATCTGCAAAAGTTTGAATCCAAAAAGGAGGCAAATTATAACAGTAATATACGTAGCAACAAACGTAAGATACGATCCCAACATCGTTAATTGCTCTTTTCGTCTCTCCAGTCTCTCTCTTTCCCAGCATCATTAATTTCTCGTTCTTGGATTCTCCGGCGAATGCAAATTTCAGCGATCGTCACTCGATTCTCCGGCGAGTGCAGTTTTAGGGTTTGTTAATCCGGCAGGCGGTGATCATTACTCGGTAGTGCGCAGGAAGAAGATTGTGGAGGGGGGGGCTTCGCGCGCTTGTCGTGTTGCTTGGCGGATTTTCACTTGGTCTTGGTACGGTTCGATTCTGTTTGTGGGGGCGAGAGAGATGTGAGGATGGTATTGAAGCCGCGCTCGGAGAGACGGGGAGATGGCGAAACGGGACATCACGGCGGCGGCGGCGGCGGCACCGTCTGGGTCGAGGAGGATGCGGATGTGGATGCTGCGCGCCACCACGTCGGTGCTGCTGTGGACGTGTATAGTGCAGCTGACGGCGCTGGGAGAGACGTGGGGTCCGAGGGTGTTGAAAGGGTGGCCTTCCTGCAATCATCGGGGTCGGTCGCCCCTGGCAACCGGAGCTAAGGAGGCGGTCAGGGTCAAGGTCTCTTCCGGAGACCAACCTCGGCGTGTGTTCCCTCCCAAGAGTAAGTCCTGTTGCTTGCTTCTTATACAGTTCGTGCAAAATTTCGTTCCTTTTTGTCCCAAATCTTAGGATAGTGTGCTTGTCGCGTTGAATTCGCGGAATGTCTTTGAATTTCTGTAGTGATGTTGGTAATTCATGGCTTTTCTCCGGGTATGAGGAAATGCTTTAATCGTCTATCGTTGTCATAAATGTTGCCTCTTTGAATTTCGCTGTGATTATGGAGTTTTCCCGACTGCAAGCCTATGCTGAAATTTGGTTATTCTTGGTATTCTCTGTCAAGTGATTCACATTTGGAAGTAGGATTGTTTCGGGTCATCGTGTTTAGCACGCTTCCGAAGAGAGACTTTCCGAGTACCTTTCGATCTTTGTGTTCCATTCACGACTTCTCATTGGATTGGATAGGGGTTTACAAGAACAATGGATACTTGATGGTCTCTTGCAATGGAGGACTTAATCAAATGAGAGCAGCGGTGAGTGTAAGCTAGGTCTTCCCATGTTCTTCATGCTTGAACTCTCGATAGCATTATCCGGTTTCGCCCATGTCCACAGATGAACACTCCATAACTTTTTTATAAATTGCAGATTTGCGACATGGTTGCCATTGCTAGATTCATGAATGTCACGCTCATCGTCCCTGAGCTGGATAAAACTTCCTTTTGGGCTGACCCCAGGTTGTGATGATTTTTGTTTCTTTTACTCGATTACTAAATACTGCATTCCGAGCAAGAACGTGGCTTAAAGCCGTTAATTTGTACTTGGCAGTGAGTTTCATGACATATTCGATGTCGATCATTTCATCACCTCTTTGAGAGATGAGGTTCGAATCTTAAAGGAGTTGCCGCCCAGGCTCAAGAGTAGAGTGGAACGGGGAAGAATTTATTCCATGGCGCCAACCAGTTGGTCAGACATTTCTTACTATCGTCACCGGGTCTGTCATCCCTGTACTATATGAACTTGCACCCATGTTCGACTGTGTTATAAACCCGATTTCAATATCAAAAGTTGTGTTCTCTAATCGTGTATTATTGAAGTGAAATTGTGTGATTGAGTTTCATTGGTTCTGTTGTTCCCTATCTAGGGTGCAGGTTCCTAATCCTAGCTTACTTTCAGTTATTTTTCTTTTGGTGTATATAGATTCTTCCCCTCATACAGAAGCACAAAGTTGTACATTTCAATAGAACTGATGCCCGACTTGCCAACAATGGCCAACCGCTGCAGCTTCAGAGGCTGCGTTGCCGGGTGAATTTTAGTGCTTTGAAGTTCACTCCTCAGATAGAGGAGCTGGGAAGAAAGGTTGTAAAGCTTCTAAGGAGAACTGGTCCTTTTCTAGTGCTTCACCTTAGATATGAGATGGACATGTTGGCCTTTTCAGGCTGTACTCTCGGTTGCAATGATGACGAGGTGGAAGAGTTGACAAGAATGAGGTGAGCTGTGAGCTACATTTGATTCGAGTTGATAACTTGTTTAGGGGTTCTCTGAGCAAATCTCCCCTCTAAATTTTCTTCTTGACAGATACGATTACGAGCAGTGGAAAGTTAAGAAAATCGATTCTGATGAGCAGAGGATTGAGGGTCTTTGTCCTTTGACTCCTGAAGAGACTGCTCTTACATTGAAGGCTCTGGACATTGATCGGAATATGCAAATTTTTGTTGCTGCTGGTGAAATATATGGTGGAGAAAGAAGAATGGCGACTCTCGCTAGGTCTTATCCAAAACTGGTCAGTATCACAGAGCCAAAGGGCTAATATCTGGTTTTTATTGCTTTCTTCATGTTTGTGTCTCTAGTCAACTGGTTGACTTGTTCTGCTTGTAACAGTTTAAAAAGGAGACACTACTAGAGTCCTCAGACCTAAAAGCTTTTCAGAATCACTCGTCACAGATGGCAGCATTAGATTATCTTGTATCCTTGGAAAGTGATGTTTTTGTTCCCACCTATGACGGGAATATGGCTAAGGTTGTTGAAGGACATCGTAGGTAATAATCTTTAGGCTTGGAACTAAAATCTTTCATTTTTCATCTTGCTAGTTTTTCTCTTTGGCTTCAGTTGAACTTTTATTTCAAGTTTGGACAATTAAATCGAACTGGGTGTTGATAACTATTGAATCTCATACATTGCATGACAGGCCGTTGTATCATTCTTCACGTGCCATGTTTTTTCGAAGTTTAAAACTTCTTTTTTTGTCGAAAAGTTTAAAACTTCTTAACTATATTCTGATGGTACAATTAGGTTTCTTGGTTTCAAGAAGACAATCTTATTGGATAGAAGGCTTCTTGTGGAGTTGATAGACCAGTTCAGTAGTGGAAATTTAAGTTGGGAAGAGTTCTCTTCTGCTGTTAAGGAAGTCCATGCATTCCGTGTCGGCAATCCCACAAGGAGGTTGGTCATTCCAGATAGACCTAAAGAAGAGGAATACTTTTATGCAAACCCACAAGAATGCCTAAGATCATCTGCGATGCATAATTGGTTGTTGGTTGGGAGATCCTGATTTTTTCAATTGGCTTCTGCAACCCTAGCTATTTGCAGAGATCTTTGACCTCTTCATCATATCACTATGACCAAAAGAGTTTTGTTCTGAAAGGGCCATCAAGTGAGATACCAGAAGAGTTAACCCTTTAATAAAGGGTCAAATCCCGCAGAAGCTACAGGGGCACAATCCAACCGTCTCTGCCATGCCAATTATTCAATTGATGTACAGAAGCTATCATGCCATTATGGGGTCGTGTTCGATCAAATTGCTTGTGCACTTCCACAGCAGACGCAAATATAGATGCGGTTTGCCGCAACTGTGAATTCAAGGAAGGCAATCCACATCCCCTCATTGGCTGCAATCCTCCTTTCTCCTTCTCATTAGCTGCTGCCATTTCTTCTCAATACACATTCTCTTCAATTTCTTTACACATCTGAAGCAATTGGCAACATGATTAGGAATACTCGTTGGACAGGAATGTCATGTTATTTCTCCTAGGTCTTTTTCTTTTCTTATTTTGGTGCATAAGTAACTGCAGCTTTGCTGGTCATCTTTGCTAATATGTCCGCAGATTTAAAGCAAGTGTTTCTGTCGTCATGTTGACAACCATGAAATGTTGGATAGAGCTTCATGCAATTGGCAGTTGACACATTTGGTTACTTTCTTGAAAAATATGTTCCCAGTTGATCTTTAGCAAGCCGGTTATGACAACCTAACTGAAGTGACAAAAAGCCGATTGAACAAGCTCATCTCTATGAACATGGGCACTTTCCGGATTAATTTTTGTTCATATTTGTTGCCCAATGGCTTGTATCATTGAAGATGGCTGGCGAATGGTTCTCGTCGTCCTTTGCTCTCTTTGGAATACGAGCTGTATCAGACTGTCGGCCTGCTGATGTCTATATCTTCATTGGGTGTTCTCTTTCTATCACAGTGTAAAAAGAAAATGCGCGAGTCTTGTGAATCTCAATAATCGGCCGTTGTACACAAAATATAAGATGAGATACCGAATGGGGTCTTATCTTCACACCAAAGTCATGAATGCTGCTAGAGAACATACATGATGACAACCGGTTTCTCTGTTTCTTCAAGGAAGATATGGTAGCCAACTTCACTATGCGAAGGCCATGAGCACATGAGGTAAGAAGCAGAATGCCTTCTAACAGCTGACTCTGTTTCTTAATGGAAGGATCGTCATTATTATCGCGGGGCTAATGAAGAAAAATCATTCTCGGCGGCTTACTGCTTCTGTATAAAACTTACCCATCGACCTCGCTCTCTGGAGGTGGTTAAAGCATGCTTTAACTGCAAGTAACGTTTGTTGATTATCAAGTTAATAAACTGAGGTGTGATGATGTGCTGCTATGATTGTGATGGTTGATCATCACATCTTTTGCTAAATCGGAAACCATGATTAGAATGTGAAAATCACGGCCATCTTTTTGAATAATCATCAAAGTCGAACCAAGTAAATTACGCAAGCAAGGACCAGAAATCATTCTCAAGCCAACGGGATTGTGAAGGATTAGCGAAAATCCTCGGTGCATAATCATATCACGGACACCAACCAAATACAATGCTTAAATACCAGTACAACAAGGCTCGAGGTCACCTGCTAACTTTTGTATGCAAGAAGATTGTGGTGTAGCCCTAAATTATTCGAGTGGCATCTTACGCTATAAGAAAAGCAAAGCAAAGCAAGACAAGCTACTGCATGCAACATAAGTACACATTACGAATGCCTGATGATGACAAATCGAGGACGCGGGTAGAGTCTCCAAATCAGTGAGAATTGATTTATGATTAAATATTACAAGTAAGTCCGACCCCCCGGAAAAAAAAATAAGAAAGAGAAATATCACAAGTAATACATGCCTGAAAGTTATGTGCATTCAAACAAACTAAAGACAATGTACAATGGTCTCAACTGGATAGCTTATTTAGCCAGGAGAAGATTGGATGAACCCTATATGTAAGAAAATTTAACCCAAAAAAAAATTTGAATAAATCATAGTACAAAAAGAATATCTGGATGATTGTTATGCTACCTAGCTTTTCCCCGTCTTTAGCTTCTTCAGGGCCAGATCTGCATTCTCGCCTGTAGCTCGAGGCCGTGTGATTCCTTGATTTCTAGCTTCAGTATCCTGCATTATACACAGATTTAAGGTCATTCTTCGATGCTGCAAGTTATGTAGACACATATTTACTTAGGTCGACCCAAAATAAAGAAGAAACACGACGACCGAGGAAACTAGGGAAGTACCTTAGGAATAGATGAAGAGGAGGCGTTTCTACCATTTGCCTGCTTCCCTAGCTCAATTTGCACCGAGATGCTGGCCTGTGACAAATCTACCCCAGAATTTTGCAATGCTTGAGTTAATGTATTCAGCAACCTGTTACAGATAAATCTCATATTATCCAACAATTCGCCAAACAATTCTAAAAGATAGCAGAGAAAGGCCTGATAACTCGATCACAAGTAGTGGACAGAGTGCAAGACTCGTCACCTCACACTGTAAATGAAGCAACCATCAACCGGGAATCAATCTAGTACATTGCATGAACAGATTAATGTGTGGTTTGCTTCCCCTGAACATTTGTTAAGGAGTGCCTCGCCGGCACAGGCTAAGCAATCAAAGAAGGAAAGTTTGCAATTGTCAATACATTGCTTTTTTCATGCTATGCCAGATCAATGCTTTGGAATATTAAGTATGCTTAAAAAAATGTCATGGGGGCACTCATTAACAAGACACCTATGAATAATGCAGATAAAAGAAAATGGAACAGTCTAAAACATGATAGTTCTTCATATAGAAAAATAGTTTCGACACCTAGTTTCAGATTCATCTGCCAGTTGCGATAAGCCAGATCAGACCGACACTAAGAAAAACAAGATGCGGACGCAATATTGGTTGAAAATACTCGCCCTGTAAAAGTCCTCGGTGTGGCAAATGTGGTCTTGCCTTTGCTCTCAGAGCAGAAACTCTATAAAAAGTTCCTGTTTGTAGCAAGTGTGAGACAGTTCTCTACCAACAAATGCAATGTACCGCAATGATTTGCTACAAATTACAATGCAACAGAGCACAAAAAATGCTGCACATCTGGTCCTAAATATTTGAGAATAGTTTTGAACAGATATGAAAAAATGCTCAAAAACAGTTTATTGCCAAAAATAAATAATTGCGACAAAAAAAACCAGTAATACAACTTTTTGCTGTATAAATCTGAACAAAAGAACTTGAAAAATTTATGCTTACCCTTGAGAGTAAACATTTGAGATACTTATTGTACCGCCTTCGATGGTCAGCTTCTCTTCGTTCAGTTTATTGGTTGAAGCAGAGCACTCGTTAGTCAATGATTTGATTCTACTAATCTGTGTTAGCGGTTGGGATGCGTTGTTGTCCAAATTAGGATCCCCTCGTGCCACTGCACCACTACCCCTGACACAATTCGAGATGTTCGGCTGAAGAGACATTGGAAATGGAACTGCTCTATTTGTCATTCCAGGGTGGGGCTCCACAGATTTGAAAGCATTAGCAGATCCCATCTCAGGTTCAAGAGGGTTGTTCGCACTCCTGAAAATGGCTGGGGCCATGGCAATATTGTTCTCATCAACTTTTGCCGCAAGGACCAAAGCAGGACCGGACCCGCTATTGATGTTTCCAGATTGATCAACATAATCATCCGTCAGCCTCTGGCCATTTCTCTGTTCAAGGAAATTGAGTGAGACGGATAGTAGTCACAGATGCTAAATGAATATATCAATGTCATGATCTCAGAAAAGCAATCATCGGTGAGGTCATTAGTGAGGTGACCACCCGACTGGTATGACCAGCGTTGGGGGATGCCTCTGATATCCAAACAGAAGCCCCTAATGCTTATCCAACAAGAAATTTTCACTCTATTGCCACTATAAGGAAATGGCTGACAAAATTTATGGAACAATTATTCATCCATAACACGCAATTCCCCATGCAGAGAGAAGACAGATGAATGAGAGAAGGGAATTACCAGCGGCATGATTTTTGCCGGTTCTTGGCTCCATCCTTGAAATGAACCTTCATAATTAGTTACCTTTTCCTGTAGATACTGTATGTACTCGATAACCTGTGAAAAAGCAGTTCCTTCATCAGTTCAAGATTATAAGGTTTATTCTAAGAAAGAAGGAAAATAAGGGAAATGAATGCCCAAGTACCTCCAATAAAAATGATGCCTTATCTCTCTTTTGGTCGCTGTTTGGGATGAGAGACCTCAACATCTGAAACCTGCAGCAGGAGGTCTACATATCAAATACATGATAGGATATTATATGCAGTACAAAAGTGGTGTGATCCATGGAATTCCACAGGATGAAATGTGAATAGACAGTGTCGACTAGCCAGTAAATTGCTTATCTAAGGGATAATGCTGCGTGAAAATGTGGTTACCCATACAATCAGACGCATTAGGATGAAATTGTTTGATCTTAGAGGGGAAGACAGAGATTGAGCGACCCTCAACTCACCTGTCATTTATTTTGCTCCGCCTCCGCTGCTCAGTTGCAGAATGTTTGGAACGAGGTGTGCTGGCCTTCTGATCACTAATCTTTCCGTCAACTTTCACCCTCAACTCTCCTGCACCAACTCAAAACTTTCCTCATCAGAAAACGTTGGAATTTAGATGAGATCATCCTTTTCTGCGATATATAGAAACAGCTAAAGATGCACATAATTAAGGAAAATTAACAACGGGATATAACATTAGATCGACTAGTTTTTAGATAACAATTCCATAAAGACAAATGTGACCTTAAAATTACCTTCAGGAATAGGGGAAGTCTCTTTCTTGAGCACAAACTCTGCATCATCGTCGTCCAATTCTTCTTCCTGATTGCTCCCACTCTTGGCTGATCTTATCATATCCATAAAGCTTTTATTTTTGGCCCCTGATGGCCTATAAAATGAAAAGGTCATCCTCAGTATCGACCTAATCTGATATATAATAGTGAAGCGACCAGATAGAAAGAGAGAGAATAGCCACTGACTGAGAGGAAGAGAGTGAACTGAACGAATTCCGGTGATTGTTATTGGAAGATGAGTGCGACGGCCGCTCCGATGCGGCCCACGGCCCCAGTTTCACCTCCGCCTCTGTCAAATTCAGAGCCAACCAAAAGAAATAAAATAAAATAAAAAAACCATTCAGTTTTTCACGTTTTCTCATAAACAGGGGTACTTCACACGCACAGAACAACTGATTTACCTACCTCGTACAGAGGCAGAAGGCACATTCTCCTTCCCTGTCTTTCCCTTCTTGGCTGCAGATTCATCCCAAAGCGTGAACCCGCTGTTAGTATAAGAACTGCAGTTGGAGTTCTCATCCGTCCGGTCAGTGCTACTTGCCTGAGCCACCGTGAAAATGGCCGCCTCAGGTTTCGGCAGGTTTTGATTATTGAAAAACGAAATGTGGCTGATGCTGTAAGTCCCGATCCCTCCAGGAAGGACGTGTTCCACCGAATGCTGCGGCGGCAGCGCCGGCGCTGGGGGAGCCGGAGGTGGTGGTCTCTCGAGGGACGAAGATATGTCGCTCGTGGCCTCTTCCTTGGCGCTCGTCTTCCCCAAGAAGTCGTGGGTTTTCAGGAAGTTGTCTGCACACAGAAAGAATAAACCAGATCAGGCTCTAGATCACGTGATCCAAGATTTCTCTCAGCTGTCAGATTGATGATTCGAGCAATCTGCACAGGACAAGATTGAAGAAGGGTCAACGTAATTTGAAGTGAACCGTGCCGGATCGCCATCTTGATGGCTCTCACGCGACAGTGCTTGGAGTCTAGATCCAAGACGGGTTCTTCCTGGAGAACAGAGAGGACGAGGAATTCTTGCTGTTCAGCAACAGCTTTAGTGGGGCCTTGGTTTCAGTCGACAAGTGACGCAATTCCGGACAAATTATTGTCCAATATTCCCTCAACCACCGTCCATGCGTTGGGTCGTGATATTAACGTCCGGATGATGCTGTCGCTCGTTCCCGAAACCCGCCCAGGACAAAACACACGGAAGAGGGAAAAAGGGTCGATACCCATGAACGCACGCCGGCTCATGTGAAACATGTGCGTTGCTCGAAAAAGTCAGTCATGGGATCGACCCGAGACCGTGCCTTCCTTACGTAACTCAAAAGGCACCACACACACGCACAGTACACGCGCGCGCGCGCACCTAACCGTAACAGATCCACGCATCGCTTGACTGCTCGCAAAAATTCTAACTTTGCTGCCGCTTCCCTCGCGGGACGATGAGGATGGAAAGTAAGAAACAGGAGGAGGAAGTCGGGGGGGGGGGGGGGGGGGGACGCGGTGGATTCGAGAGTCCCGAGGTCTCTGGCTGATCCGACCAGAACCAACGTGACGCAGGTTTATGCAGGGCACGGCACAGCAACTGCGCGCCGGGCCCCGTGCCTCGTGCCCCGTGCCCCCACCACCCGCCGGCCCTCGTGCGATGTCAAATCGACCCGTCGGATTCAACTCGGGACCCACCACCACCACCACCCCTCCTCCCTTCCTTCCTTCCTCCCTCCCCCATCATCTGATGTCCGGATTCTCCTCTTCTTGTTTCTTGCTTTTCTTGATTTTTTGCTTTTCGGCTTCGGCAAAAGCCCCCCCCCCCCCCCCCCCCCCGAGACCCGGCCCCGCCCGAATTCGTGGCCCAGATCCGCGACGCTCACCTCATCACGTGCACGCACTAACCTCGATCGTTCCCCCGCCCCCATTAATTTACAGATATCTCTCTCTCTCTCTCTACCCCATTAAAGGCACGATCGTTACCAAATCCGCAGGGACGACCCACCAGCGTTTTGCTCTTTCTTTTTTCTCTATTTCGCTTGCTTTATTCTCGGGATCTAAAAACTAGATTTTTTGCAATGAATGAACAGGGGGAGGAGCGAGATACCCTTTTCATTAATTGGCCGAATCGATGTTATTTTTGGGATAAAAAAGGATAGATTTTTTTTAGCGAGAGAGGATGGAGAGTGTGTTACCTTGAGAAGAAGGAGGCGGTCTTGGATCTTGGTGGTGGAGGGTTGAATGGCTGCACAGCGACAGAAAGTCGTGCGTTGCTTTCCTCCCTGCAAGAACCGGCTTCGATTTCATCGTCGCTCGTGTGTTTTTTCTCGGACTCTTTCTCGAACTCGGACAAAAAGAAACAAAAGGAAAGAAAACCAAGAAACGGACCCGACAGCATCAATCTGCAGCCGCGAACGCCAGAGCAGATGATGCGTATAGATTGTCATACCTTCTGTTCCGAATGGACGAGGTTGAGGGAGCTCCATCATGCAAAACCTCAGACGACCAAAACTCGACTGAATTACGGGAGCGAAGAGCTGAATTCTTCGCGAACCGGCGAGCTCTCGAACAAAAGCTCCGCGAGAGTTCCCGAGCTCGAAGCGAAATTCCGAAAGCTGGACTCGAAATCACCCGCAGCCCTCCGCAGATCTGCGCCCCGAAAGTAAAATGCAGATTCGTTCGGAGATGGCTTCCCGCCTCCGATCTCAACCCGAATCCGCTCGGCCGGGTCGCTTCGGTTCCAAGCGACCTCTCTCCTGATCGGCGCCCGCCTCTCGAGAAAACCGCTCCCCGGAAAATCTCGTCGCCGCCGGAGAACTTCAGCCCGGAGAATTCCCCACGAATCTGGCCACCGGGAACGAAACCAAACGAAACCAAACGAAACGCGACGCTCAGCAAAATCCGAAGCTGCACACAGAGAAAGAAACACCAGGAAAGCATAATTCGGAAACGGGTCAGCCCCAAAACAAGGCCACGATCTCTTCCTCTACACGGCTCGAGACCGAAGCATAATTCAACAGCAAGAAACGCAGGAAACGAACAACAACAAGAACAAGAACAAGAACCTCAGGCGATCCGAGCTGCCGTCGCCGGAGGAGAACCGAACCGAACCGAATCCAATCCCAATTCAGCTCAGTAGCAGAGCTCGGAGATTCAACGCGACAGCGAAGGGCTCACACTTTCACTCCTCTCTCTTCTCTCTTCTCTTCTCTCTCGTCTGTGAGGGAAGCCATAGCTGGAGATCTTTTATACAGTTCATTTGTAGCGTTTCCTGCATTGCTTTCCGGTGCGTCTCTTTTTGCTCCATTTTTATCCATTTCTTTTTAATTTTTTTTTCCGCTCTTCTCCCCTTTTCCACCCCCTCCCCGTAAATGATGATGATTATAAATAATTTTATTGGAGGGTGGTTTTCCGTTCGGGCGGGCGAGGACGGCGTTCCTCCTCGACGCCGTTTGCGTCGCGGGCGGGGCTTAACGGCGTTAAGGGGGGCTTGACTGACCGGAGGGGGGGTGGTTCAGAACATTTTATTTAGGGATAAGTGCATTCAAAGTCCTAAAACTTGTAACGAAAGTGCAATTGAGTCCTAAAACTTTCGAAAAGTACAAGCAAGTCCTAAAACTTATCACGAAAGTGCACTTGAGTCCTAAAACTTTAAAAAAGTGCAAACAAGTCCCAAAACTTGTCACGAAAGTGCAAATGAAATTGGTTCAATCAAGTCATTCCATTGATTGTACTTTTTGAAAGTTTTAGGACTTGTTTGTCACAAAATCAATCAAGTCCTTCCATTGATTGTACTTTTTGAAAGCTTTAAGACTTGTTTGCACTTTTGTGACAAATTTTAGGACTTGTTTGCACTTTCGTGATAAGTTTTAAGACTTATTTGCACTTTTTGAAAATTTTAGGACTCGAGTGCACTTTTATGACAAGTTTTAGGACTTGTTTGCACTTTTTGAAAGTTTTAGGACTCAATTGCACTTTTGTGACAAATTTTAGGACTTCTAGTGCACTTATCCCTTTTATTTAATACCCGATAAAAATTCAGATTTTAGGAATCGATCAAATTAAAGAGAACTTCGTTCCGAATTGCCCCCATTGGCACTTAGGAAATTTTACCCTTTCCAAAGAAAAGGGAAAACGATACGAATGGTCCACAAACTTCAAACCTCCCCGAAATTTTAATTTGTTCAACGTATTCCTGAACTTTAGCCTAATATGAAATGTCGCCCCGGAACTTTCAATTTATTTAATGTGGCCTCCGAAACTATATGAAAAATGTCCAATATTGTCTCTCGACTTGAATTAACGGAATTGAATCATTGAATATTTTCATATATTCCAGGGACTAACCTGAACATGTACAAAAATCCTAGGGAACACATTCAACAAATTAAAAGTTCGAGAACGACTTGAGCTAAAGTTTAGGGATTACATTAAACAAATTAAAAATTCAAGGATCAAGTTACATATCATGCTTGAATTCACGGACTATTTACATTATTATCCCTTTTAATAAATCGATTGTCTTCGAATTATATGCACAATCGGTGTCGTGAAAATTGAATTATTCCGAATTAATATTGCTTAACAAAGTGTCAGACGGTAGTGGTTAACGGAGGGGGTTCGAATTAAAAAAACCGGCGCCGCTAGGGGGAAGCTCGGTACGGCATGCGAGTCACGGAATTCAATGATTTATTAGGGTCGTTGTTAATTTTTTTTTATATTATATTATTTAATTATTTAATTTGTTTTGTGGGGGGGTGATTAAATTAGTGTTTGGTGGCGATCCCGATGCTAATCGTAGTTTACTTCCCCCAAGGACTGATGCTATTCTCTTTATCTCGGAACATATTGTTCACCATCAATTAATTAATTATTTATTTATTTTTAAATTTTTGTTCTTTCAATGCACTTGTAGTGACTTTGCCAAGTGTCCACTTGGGTTTAAGATAAGTCAATGCGTAAAAATTGCAATAATCGTATGTTGAAACTTCAATTTTTTTGGCGGTTCGAATTTTTGTACTTTTTAAATGTTATCCGGTGGTTAATCCATCTCTATTTACAAATCGAGCCGTCGCCGTCGCTACGCTCCATGGCTCGAAAGGTTGTGCCTCTTCTTCAAGCCCCCCCCCCCCCCCCTCACTCCTCGCCATGACCAGATTTGGGCCGGTGGCGGAGCTTAGCAACAACGACCGGGCCCACTGGCGTTGCTCATCGGGGAGAAAGAGATGAAGGGAGGGATGCTATTCGAAAGAGGGAAAGAAAGAAGCTAAACGAAGATTTTATCGCCGAAGATGATTGAAATTATGTATCGTATTTTGCTAATCCGACGGAGTAGATTGAACAATTTAAAGCCCTTCGAAGTCGAATTTTTCGATTTTAAACAACCTTTTTCTGTGTCCTAAACCTTAAACGGGGTCGGCCCGGAAATGTGAAATTCCCAAATGGTCCAAGCAGAGTTAACCAATTTTCCACAATCTTGTAAGAAGGAAAAATGGAGTACCCATATTGCCCTTGTTGAAATTATTGCACACAGGACAGTCCCTAGTCCTTCGCTCCCCTGGCTCACCAGTAAATTGCAATGTGACAAAAGCACCAAGCAGTTGTGATCATGGACTTTCAAGTACCAACGGCAAAATTAAAGTTTAGGAGTGGCCCGACGTGTCGATCGACTACTTGTCATATCACGTGCCGTCAATTGGAGTCGATTTCCATCTCGATTTTTCTTGATTTCTCTTTAGCTTCCGACGGTACAGAGTGACGTTGACGCCCGTGTCGCACGTATCAGATGATGTCGCTCCCCAAGGGAATGGTCGGCTTGACAGGTCGCTGCGAGAGGGAGAAACGTGATCGGGATTATACAATAAGCAATATTGGAATTAGACATGTAAATGCTCGATTGGTCCTTTTACACGTTCTGCTTCTTTATTTCGAGTGGTTTATGACGTTGTTGGCTCTCTTTTTTTTTTTCGATCAAATAACGCAACTAGTCTCCGGGCGGTAGCTTGACTCGCATTATAAACCGCTCTGCCCACTGAAAACCCATAAGATTTCACATCGACAGGCCTGTCATTCTAGCTCGATCAATGTACACACGTCACCACCAACGGATGTCTAACTTACAAGCCACCAAAGCTCCGCTCACAATAAGACAGACT